AACACGATCGAGGCAAGGAGACGAATTCGGGGCAGAGGAAGAGTACAGAGCATTACTGAGCAGACAGGTGGCTGGCGGGTCAGAAAGGAGTGGATCGGAGTCGCCAGTCACGTGTATTGTCCTAGAAGTATGCTTTGGGGTGAGAGGGCACACACGTGTGTTTCTGGATGCCTCTTTCAGCAAGCGTCTCTCATGGCTCTAGTTTCTGGGTTGTGTTCCTTTCCTTCTCTTGAACTGAGGGACGAAAATACCAAGCTTACCTCCACCCCCTAATGCAGAGTTTAAAAAAGTTAAAGAGTGAACATATTACTCGAGACCAAGGCATTAAAACAGACATTTGTCGCGCGTCTACCACCTGCGGGTAATCTAATCTGATGACCCAACACCAAGGAGACAGAAATAGAACGTTCCTCATGACACACAGAGTGAATTTGCATGTGAATCAATGGGTGCTCGTCAGAAACCGAGGCTGTGAGGCTACGAAATGAATCAGAGGGTCACCTGCCCGAAGTGGCTCAGGATGAGTCACAAAGACAGTGTGTCTACCGGGGGACTCAGGATCGGCAGTCTTGTTCTAGATTAAGAAGAGCATGGGGCGAAAGTGTTTACCAGAGAGGACGGCAAAACTAAGTGTTTGCTCAATGCTAGGAAAGAACCTCCAGGTGACAGGTTAGAAAGCTATAAGCAGCGTGACACTGACAGACAAGGTGGAGGCACCCCACGGCGATGGAGAGAGACAGGATCAACGCAGGCAGCCACCAGAGGTGGACCCTGCCGTCATGCAGAGAGGGGCAAGATCAAATGAAGCCTTGTCCGGTGTGAAATAAGGGCTCTCGATGATTCTCAATACCGATGATCTCCACTCTGTGGCAAACTGTTTTCCCCCTCGCCTCAGCTTCCCCACCTTCCATGTTGAAACAATCACTTGCTATCTTTAGTGAGAGACGGAAGGAGGCAATTATTAGCCTGAAATGTTCAAATCAATCCAGGTGATCCTAGTAGAAACTAATATTTCTACGACATAACTGAAGGCTTCCGAGTCATAAATGCCTCTGTACGCATTCTCTGCATATGGAACATCCAACGGGGTAGCACTTGCCCTGCTGCTCTTGAACTGGTGCTCTCTATGTAAAATACCCATGAGATTTTACAGATTTAATCTTAAAAATGTAATATCCCACTGATTTCTCGAAATGAGTACGTATTGAAATAATATTTTTGATAGGAGTCAAGACAAACGTATTATTAGAAATGATTCCCATTTCTTTGTACTTGTTTCAAAATGACTGACCACCAGTTTCAACAAACTACCCGTGAGGCTCACATTATGTTTCTACTGGACGGTGCTGATTATACCACCAATATAGCCCTTTCTTTAGCTGTACACCTCTCTTTTTGGTCACCCTGGGAAATAGTCATTTAAATGACAAGAAATTAGTCACAGAAATCAAGAAGACAACTTTACTGAAGACATGTAAGAAAGAACAGTCTGCCAGCTTCATCACTCTCCATACGGAGTACACAGGAGGCTACTGAGCAGCACAACCACCGCAAAATGTGCATCTTGGACTGTTTTGCACCAACGGCAGAGTGATGTCTGACAGCTGGCACCAGGGCTGTGTCATCAAAGCCACCATTCAGAAAGCCACTGACTTCTTGCCGGGTCCCATGTCAGTAAACTGTGCGCTCTCTCACCAAGGGGTCATGCTGATGGGTTTTCAACCAACAACCTCAACTTGAGTTCCACCAGAAGGCCGTCGCGATGACAGAAAACCATGATGGGAAAAGCAACTTGGTTCCCTCGCCCCCACAGCAACGTCACACACAGCGTCAATGGCAAATGCATCTGTTTATTCCAAAATAGCTAAATTTGCAAGAAAAACACACTGGGCTCTGATAAACCCTTCACCGAAATTCCTGGGTTTGCCCATTAATTATTTTATCACATTTGCTTTATCACTTTCTGCATGCATGTATTGTAATTTTTAAATGATTTCAGGAGTTAGAAAAATGATACCCTTTACTCTTCCTTATCTCAGGTTTGTCCAGAGAACGAGGTCATTCTCCTACATAATCACACTACAGTTATCAAAATCAGAAAATCACCATCAATACATTTCTGCTGCCTATTCTGAAGATGTTAAAATGTTGCCAGTTGTCCCAACGGTGCCCTTTATAGAAGCAAGAAAAAACATTTTATTCTCTTCCAAGATAGAAGTTGGATTGAGTGTTTCGTTTGACTGCATGCCATTTTTTCTCCTTGATGATGGACTAGCTCTTCATTCTTTACGTGCCCTTCATGACCTGGTGATTTTTGAAGAGTAGAGGCCAGTTTTTATAGAATGCCCCTCAGTTTTGGTTTGTGTTCTGGTTCCTCCTGATAAAACTGGTTGGAATAACGAGCATACCTTGCTGTGTCCTTCTCCACGCACTGAATCAGGACACGTTGACTAAGTTCTTCGTCCCATTACTTGGTTATGGTGAGAATGGCTGGGTTTCTTCACCATCAAGTCATAATTTTCCTCTTATAATTAATAAATATCACATAGGTAACTACTTGGAGACTTTATAAATATCTTGGCCATCATCAAAGTCTCAGCCATAAATTTTGGCAGCCGTTGATCATTTTTGCCTGAATCAATTTTTAGTGTGATGGTAACCAAATGATGTCTTAATTAAATCATGCCTTCAATATCTGGCATTTGGTATTTGACAGTAAGGAAGAATGGCCCCTCCTTCTGCCTCATTTGTTTATTCATTCATTTCTTTTCTGATGTTGGTATATTCTCGTTGATTCTTATTCACCGTGTTATAATCTGATACCATCATTATTTAACAATCCATTGTCCCAGATTTCTTCAGTGAGCCCAACGTTCAGTTAGCACCTAGGTCCTTTGGACCTGCCCTCATCATTCTCTGAATATGTCCTGAATTCTGGAAACAACAAGACCTTCTAGGCTTCTCTGAGACTTTTGCTGCCCAGACCCTGGAACCAGCTACTTCTCCAAGAAACTTTAGTTCATTTTAGTGTGTGGTTAAATTTAGAAACCAAGAACTGTATCTTAAATGTGCTCATTGCTACTACGATGACACTCCTTCCAGAACCTTCCAGCCAACAAAACTAGGAAACAAGGAAATGAGAGAGTACGTACATGTAAACAAATATGTGCACACACATCTACACGCACCACTTTTTCCCACACACACATACACAATGCAGCAGACCGTCTATTACACCATGAGAGTCAAAATGAGCATAATATATAGTTCCCACCTATTGAAAGATCTATATTTTTATAAAAGATTCTTCAAAATCAGAGTCTGAAAATGGTATTTTAGTTACACTGCTGATCATTCTGATTTCTTCTTAATACGTTCAAGATTTTCCCAACAAATCAACTCATACAAGGACTTATACACTAAAGAAAAGCAAAACAAAACAAAAGACGTATATGCTAAACTACAGTGGCAAGATCACTCATTGTCTGGTGCGATGAAATGAGTACAATACGAAGTCATCATTTAGCATCATCACTTTTAAAAACAAACACAATTAACATTTGTTGACAAATTGCTATGGCTTCTTCCTTCTGCACATTTTACTCTATTTAATTTTAGGGGCGCCTGGGTGGCGCAGTCGGTTAAGCGTCCGACTTCAGCCAGGTCACGATCTCGCGGTCTGAGGAGTTCGATCCCCGCGTCGGGCTCTGGGCTGATGGCTCGGAGCCTGGAGCCTATTTCCGATTCTGTGTCTCCCTCTCTCTCTGCCCCTCCCCCGTTCATGCTCTGTCTCTCTCTGTCCCCAAAAAAAATAATTTTAGCAGTGACAGCATGGGGAGATGGTGCCTTGTGGCCGTTTCACAGATGAGGAAACCCACAGCTGCTGGGAGGAAGGGAGCTCTATCACAAACCCAGGTCTATCGTCTTCAAAGCCCTTGCGTTTTCACCAAAATTAGCTTTGCTTGTGGGATTGGCTTATTTTGAAGCCCTGGTGAATGAAAGATAGGTCGAATATTAAACCCTAGCTGGGGTGCCTGGCTGGCTAGGTCAGTAGAGCATGCAACTTCCGATGTTGGGGTTGTGAGTTTGAGCCCCACACTGGGCGTGGAGCCTACTTAAAAAAAAAAAAAAAAAAAAAAACACCCTAGCTCCAAAGTTTCCTGGATGCTCACAAATCCCAGCATTATATGCAGAAGAAATTAACACAAACTCATCTCCAACTACTTCTTAGGGCTCTAGTACAGGAGGGTGACATTACAATTGAAGACCTTTTCCCAAGCTACACATGGCCCAGGAGTAGTTCTAGCACGTTCCATGGGGAGTTCCAGATAGTCGGTGAAAGAGATAGTCATGTCCTAACTCTCCCCTTGTCCAAGGAGACCATGGTTGCCAGACCCTTCTAAAAGCCTGGAGGGCAACAGTGGGCCTTCGTGATTCACATCTGCCTCTAAAATAAATACTCTACTCAGGCAGAAGGATCTGTGTCCTTCTTCAAACTGTAAAAACAGAAGCACGTAAAGTGCATTTGTATCTATCTCCACTTACTCTTTTCTATATATACTCATATTTATTTAATTATAAAAGGTAAAGAGGAAACAAAGATGTTTTCCTAAGGGAACTGACTTTTCCAAAACTATGATGGCTGAATGCAGCAAAATAAATAATCAATGGCCATTCTAACTGGGGGTGGGGGTGGAGTGGGTAAGGGCTCTCCCAGACATTGAGGGGATGTCCTCTGAATTGTCTATCATGTGGTGAAGACTAAATCAGGACGATGCCCATGATAGGAAGGGAGGATGCACAGTAGGAAAAAAGGGCCAATCGGGAATTAAGGCAGGTGACGACTCATATCAGATAGGGTCTGGCAGCCTGACTCGCTGAGGAAGCGAATCTCTGCTCTGGCATGATTAATACCTTTACACACATCTGTCTTCATTCTCTCAAACGGTAAGCTCATTGGGATGGAAAATGAAAGCTTGAGAAAGATAAATCGCACCTACCTGGATCAGAGACAAATCCTCAAGCTGTAACCTGAAGAGGTAGTTTCTACAAAACACAAAAGGAGAGGAGTTTTAATTTTAATAGATTCAAAATATTACAGGTCATCAAAATTATGAGAACAAGGCAAAACAAAGCAATGATTTGGGGCTTTCCAAGAATGCATGTAGCACAGTTGTCCTCACACCTCAGAATTCAGAGAGGCATTCAGTATGTCAGCAGGTTTGAGATTGGCACATTTGAGATTGGCAAGAGAGTTAAGGAATAAGGTGCATGTGTGTGTGTGTGTGTGTGTGTGTGTGTGTGTGTGTGTGTGTGTGACTACACTGAATCTCAGTTATTAATGGACTCTCTTGATCCATGTGGAATGGACCAAAGGACACAGGCAGTCGATTCTGAAATTGAGTTTAAGTAAGAGAATACAAACCCATTCTATGAGTCTTCATTCTTATGGATCACCTACATTCACCATGATTTATAGTTACAACACATCCTGCTTTGGAATTCAACCACAGTCTGAGTATTACAGTGTTCTGTCTTGCTGGATGCATTTGGTGTGTACAAGTTTAGAAGCATCAACTCGTCGGTCCACAATCAAGGGTGTGAAAGAGTCCCCTCTGGCTGCCCAAGTGTGAGGCAAGAAATCAGAGAAAAGGAAAGGATCTGTCCTGACAATGAAGGGGAAGAACAATGAAATATGCGGTGGCGATCAGCACAGCGGGGGGGCAGAACACAAACATCAGCCACTTTAGGCTTTGGACTCTACTGCTGTAGGTTTAGAAACAAATTGGCCTCCTCCTGCGAGTTGCTTTGGCCTCTGACTCAAATCATGAATGCCCCCTTAATGAGGAGCTGGTGCAGGGAGAGCCACGCTCCAGGGACTATGGAGGAGAAAGTTAGCCCCGGTGTAAACAGTAATGGCAGGAGACCTGGCACCCAACAGACAGACCCTACGAAGGCACGAGTGCAGGACGGGTCTCTAAGAAGCTATTGTTTTGGGGAGCCTGAGTGGCTCGGTCCGTTGAGCCTCTGACTTGATTTCAGCTCAAGTCATGATCCCAGGGTCCTGGGATGGAGCCCCATGTCTGGCTCGATGCTGAGCATGGTGCCTGCTTAAGATCTCCTTCTCTCTCCTCTTCCCCTCTCCCCTGCTCTCACTCTCTCCTCTCTTTATTTTTTCTATATATGTATACCTGTATATATACTCATTCTACTCTATATATATAATTTAAAAAAGCTTCATTTACACATGCATGGCCACAAGGTTAGGTTCATGGAACTTAAGAGAGTTAACAGGTTCTCAACACCAGCAAAGAAACTCACAAATGTATTTTCACTATTTGGAGATGGTGGGTGTTCCAAATTGTTACATGACTTGTCCTGGAGTGAAGTGATAATGACCAAGGCAGGACAATGGGCATGTGACGCTTGGAGGAAAGAGAAGCATCCCTACTGAGCGACCCAGACATGGGAAGACAAAGCCAATGAGGAGAGGCTGAGGGCTAGAGCCTGTGCGCTGCCACACCGTTTGGAACAAGCGGATGAGCTCACTGTAGGAGGCTTACTGTCCCGCAGCCCCCTGGTCACGCCTCATCTTACGAGTCTGCCCCCCACCAGCATAGCTTGCACCACGGCCATTGCCGCCACCATCATCTTGCAGGCTGCCATGCCATCTCACGGCGTGTAGTTTGCCTCCTCAAACCATTAAGTGACCTCTTCACCACACCCTTTCCAACATCCAATTTAACCTGACAAAAAAATATATTGAAGGCTCCCAACTTCAGTGGCCCAGGCCCACCTCGCCCACAAGGCGCATTTGGGGAACACTTGCCCTCTCTTTTATGGCAGATGGATCAGAGCCCCCTCAGCGCCAGATGTAAGGATGACTTTGACAGGCAGTGCACAACAGGTCTATTTTTATTTAGGGGACAGCATCAGAGGCCAGGTTTCACCAGAAACATCTCCCTGCGGGGGGGAGGAGCGGGAGCCAGCGCGCGCAGAAGAGGGAGGCAGCTTGAGCTGCCGGAGCTACCACCCACTGAGGCTGCAGCATTTGAAGTTTATATCCTTCACGATGTGACACAGGGCAGTGACTCCTCCCAGGGAAGTTGCAATCTGACACACTCGCCACAGATCAGTTTTCCAGATGAGAGGCTACAGTGGCACCACCAGCAATTTGCCACTCATCGCTTCATGGCACGGTCTCCCTCACCCTCACCCTGGCCCTAATTGTGCTTCTGCCTGCAGGATGCTGCCGCCATCACCAGCACGAGTGACCCGGAGACCGAAGGATAGCTTGTGCTGAACAAAGCTGTAGCCAGGACACACACCTGGAGGAAGCTTAAGCACCTGCCTGGGTGACTCATCTGTAAAATGGGGGCCCATACTCCTACCTATGCCCTGCGGCTGTAGCGGGGGTTACCTCAAGGAAAGCACCGGATGGCTCCTGATCCATTGCAACGCAGTCGATCAATCGTGGCACTACGCGCAGACGGTTGGAAAATACTGAAATTTCCAGACCCATTGCAATTTCAGCAGATTCCCATTGACAGGGAAGGAACGAGGCGCTCTCCAGCCATTTCCGGTTTCGGGTCCAGCCTGACTGTGCGTTGGATCGTGGGGGCATTGTCTGCAGGGACAGTACAGCACTATTGGGTTTTCAGATTTATAGCGTCGTGGTTCTGGACCCAGTCACCACATTTTTTCCACTCCTAGCTCTTTTAAGAAAGACTTTTTCTGTAAATATTTCCAGTAAAAAGAAATTCATATTTTAGTCAATTAATTACCTAAGGGTCTGATGTGCTGAAAGGCCACCTCTCTCTCAAGCCTCTACCCACCCCTCTTTCTTCTCTCTCTCTCTCTCACCCACCCACACACAATACACACCCACATCTAAATCTGGGAACTTTCTAGAAAGGCACTTCTCATACACAAGAGCTGGAAGTGCCCTTCACCACTGAGGAAGAAGATGGTGGTGTCCACATGCTCCGTGAGAGCTCGGGCAGGACAACTGGAGAGAAAGTTCAAAGTCCTCCATTTGGGTCAGAGGACATACAGAGAATATTCCGAGAACCCTCAGTGCCCTTTTCAGGTGCTGTCACGAGGAAGGTTTATGCATGAATGTTTGGATCTCCCCATCTTATGTTGAAGCCCTAACCCCAAGGGGATGGTGTTGGGAGGCAAAGCTTTGGGGAGGTGATTAGGTCTGAGGATGGCCGCCCTGGTACAAGCTCCAGAAATGCTTCACCTCTTCGACCATGTGAGGGGCAGGGAGACAGTGGCCAATCTGTAACAGAACCCAGCCATGCTCCCTGACCTTGGACTTCCTATCTCTAGAACCAGGATGATAAATCTCTGTTTATAAGCCACCAAGTCTGTAGGAGTTCTGTTCTAGTGGCCCCAACAGACCAAGACAGGAAGACACGACAGTTGATAAGAAACATGCCCGTTCAGGCCACATTCTCCCAAGCAAAAACTTAACTCTGCTGAGGATCTTTTTCTCCCCTGGAGTCCCAGTACACAAGGTGCCTCCCGCCCCACCATTGCTAGTGAATTTCACCCTGTACTTTTGCTCCCTGAATACCTGAGAGCTGTGGTGCCCTCACAACCATTTCATCAGCGAAATCAGGGTGCTGGAGACATTCAACAGGTGAACAGAGAGGAAGGGACAGAGAAAAGAGCCACAGTGCTCAGGCGACTCCATGCCAGCTTGGGAAGAGAAGAATCAAAGGAGACTGAACGTTTCCTTTGGTATGTTCTAGGTTACAAGATGCAAACTGGTGATTTTAAAACCATCCTCTGTTTTTTTTTTTTTTAACCTAAAACCCCAAAGAACAGAGGATCAAGGAATTCTAAAGCTGAGCCATCCTTAGAGTGTATCTACCTTCAATCTGTCCATGAGGAAACTTCTGCAAATAAGAGCAGGGTGATTTATTCAAGACTATTAGGATCAGATAAAGTCCCAACATTAGAATCAGAACTCTCAGACCATGCTGTCCTTGGCCCTGTGCCACACAGCTTCACCAGTCAGTCATCCCATGTCACTTTCTCAGTTTCATGGGCACACCCCCCCTACACAACAGCATACACACAGTAATAGTTCTTAGAGTAAACTATTTTATGTGTTCATTCGCAGGCATCATTATCCTTTTGAGACCATTCTGGTCTTAACACTACTAATTGTCTTTTGATTCTAGGTAATTGATTCTCACCTCTGGGACTCATTTCTGACTGTGACATACTGTCTCCCATTAAGCTTGAACATGTCAACCCTACCTGAGTCGCTCATTAAATGGTGTCTCTTTCTCCCTCATATTTCTCACAGTTTTTTTCCTGAAACCCTGCCCATACTTTTTTTTTTTTTTAACTTTTTTTAATGTTTATTCATTTTGAGACATGAGTAGGAGGAGGGAGGGCAGAGGAGGGAGGCTCAGCACCTGAGCTCCAGGCTCTGAGCTGTCAGCCGAGCCCGATCTTGGCGCTCAAACCCCGCGAGCCAGATGGGTGACCTGAGCTGAAGTTGGATGCTTAACCCGACAAGCCACCCAGGCACCTATATACTAAGAGTGCCCATGTTTCTTCATTTATAACATGAGAGAAGGAAGCTAAACCAACCATCTGTCAGTATTTTAAGTAACACAAATCCCTAAAAGACTTAACCCTTCCAGATATGAAATGAAAGGTTAGATTTGTGACCAATCAATAAAAGACTTATAGCCTGCGATATTTCAACAAATTCCTGAAATCCTTTTTGAGTGTTTTTTTATTTTTTGAACCAAGTACCATATTGCAAAATAATTTTAAAATCAGCATGTAAAAGAGGAAGGATAGTTCTTCATTAATGAAAATTCATCCAACAAAGTACTCACACATAATATTGTTCATCAGTTGATTAAAGTGACTTAAAATTTGAAACTAGAATGAAAATAATATTATTGATAACCTTGTACAACCTTTGTGGCGGATTTAATTGTTTACATTTTGTTACTTTTGTTTGATTTGGAGAGGAACAAAAAGGTAGTAGTAGGGCTTACAAATATTTGTTGAAT